GAAGAAGAAGAAGAAGAAGAAGAAGAAGAAGAAGAAGAAGAAGAAGAAGGAGGAGGAGGAGGAAGAAAAGAAAAGAAAAGAAAAAGAAAAGAGAAAAGAAAAGAAGGAAGGAAGGAAGGAAGAAGTTATTTTCTCATAGTTCTGGAGGCCAGAGTCAGAGATCAAGATGTTGGCAGAGCTGCTCCCTCCAGAGGCTCTAGGGAGGATTCCATTCCTTGCCTTTTCCAGCTGGTGACCTCCTTGACTTGGGACCACATCATTCCCTTCCAACCCTCCATTCTCTGCCTCCATCTTCACATCGCCTTCTCTTTTCCACCTCTGTCTCAAATCTCTCTTATAAGAACACCTGTCATTGGACTTAGGGCCCTCCCGGGTAATCCAGGATGATCTCCTTATTCCAAGATTCTTGACTTAATTACACGGGCAAAGACTGTTTTCTAAATAAGGTAACATTCACATGTTCTGGGGATTAGGTCGTGGATATACATTTTGGGGGGCCACTGTTCAACCTACTACAGGTAGGTACTTCTTTCATCCCTGTTTTGCAGACAAGGAATTGAGTTAGTAGGAGAACCAGGATTAGATTTTTAGTCTTTTCATTCTTAGTCTCCATGTTTTTCTACAACAGAAAAATAAGTTTTTGCAAAATTATAAAGCCATGAAAAAAGTTTTTCTACAACAGAAAAATGAGTTTTTACAAAATTATAAAGCCATGAAAAAAGCCAGTTTGAAAAGCTCAAACTCTACCAAAAAAACCAAAACTCTCACAAAAATTTGCCAATGCAGATTTTAAAACTTTTTGTATTGTTACCGAGGGGTGGCTCTGAGAGGCCACACAACTTTTCATAACCTGTTGCAGAAGAGACAATCACATTCCTCATTTTTACTTACAGGATTTGAGATGATGATAAATTATGCGTGTGAATGTTTGCATTTTTAGTCAGGAGACTTAGGGTGTTAGACTTATGGGAGTTTAACTTGAAGCGCAGGTTATTTCTCACATTTCTATCCCACACAGGTAACCAAGCAACATTTTTATCAGTAGCAGAGACAAACATGCTGAATGATTTCCTTAACTACTTTGGTTTAACCTGCCTGCAAGTCAGCTTGTATGAGCTGTCACAGCCCATGTGACCGTCCTATTCAATTTCAGGTATGTGATAAAGAGGTTTCCATATTACAGACCTTCTGGACGCCCACTTTGCACTTATCTTTGGATTGAATTTGGGCCAGATCTGAAGGTCAGGCTGGCGACTGAAGAGACATGCCCCCAATGGCTGTCAGCCTTCTACTTATTATAATTTCCCAATGTTTATAACCCAAGTTGGTAGACCATTTGCCAGTAGACCATTCAGACCTTCCTGAATCATTACTCAGTCAATAACTGATGCATCCTATAAATATATTTTTTCAGCCTAACTGAGGTGTAATTGATATTCAATAAACTTCATGTATTTAAACTGTATAATTTTATGATTTGACATAAATATACTCTTTTGAAGCTGTCATCATAATCATCATGAACATATCCATCACCCCTGAAAGTTTCCTCCTGCCTGTTTGCAATTCAAGCTTTTTCTATCTCCACCACATCTTGCCCACAGGCAACCACTAATCTGCTTTCTTTCTCATAGTTAATCTTTTCTAGAAATTTATATAAATAGGTCCTAAACTATGTACTCTTTTTTTTTTTCTTTTGGCCTGGCTACTTTCACTCAGCATAATTATTTTGAGAATCAACCATGTTGTTGGGTATATCAACAGGTCATATGTTCTTATTGTTGAGTGGTATTCCATGGTATTGATATACCACAATTAATGTATCCATTCACCTTTGATGAACATTTGATTTGGATTGTTTCCAGTTTGGGGTTATTACGAAGACAGCTGTTATGAACGTTCCTGTACAAGTCTTTGTGTAAACATATGTTTTCAGTTCTGTTGGGTAAATTCTTAGAAGTGGAATGGCCGGGCCATATATGGTAAGTAGAGACTTAACTTTTTAAGGAAGTGTCAAATGTTCTCAGAGTAGTTGTGTCATTTTGCACCCCCACCAGCAGTGTAGGATAGTTCCAGGCACTCCGTGTCTATGATGAGTCTTTGTGATTACAGCCATACTAGGAGCACTGTGGTACTTCACGGTGATTTTAATTGCCCTTTCCGGAATGACAAATGATATGTTCAGCATCTTTTCATGTGATTATTTGCTTTCTGCATATATCTTGGGTGAAGTATCTGTTCAAATATTTTATCCAGTGTTTAATTGGGCTGTTTTTTTCTTATTGAGTTTTGAGAGTTCTTTACATACTCTGGATCTAAGCCCTTTATCATATCATATATGCACTTTGCATATATTTTCTCCCCGTTTGTGGCTTGTTTTTTAGTTCCCTTAACAATATCTTTCAATGAGTAGATGCTATTAATGTTGATGAAGATCAACCCAACAGTGTTTTCTTTTATGAATTGTGTGTTTGGTGTCATGTCTAAGAAATCTTTACTTAATCCAAGGTCACAAAGATTTCATCCTGTTTTCTTCTTTATATATATTTCAAATACATCTTCAGAGTGAACAGAAAGTTATGTGTGTCCAAGGGATTTTAGGGAGTTGCTTTGCTAAGTCCTTTCTCCTTGCCCCCTTGCGTATCCCACTTCCACCACTGCAGGATGCCTTCTTTTTTGCTGTGATAATCTATAATCTGGAGGGAGAAGAAGCACTTCCACTTTGCCTACTTTGTTAGAGGGTATTTAGTGGACATTTGTTCACTCTCAACATCTGAAAACCCTTTCTGTTTGGGAAAAATCCCAACATATTTAGAAGGTAAGGGGCAGCTCTTCCCTGGCACCCAGTTCTCTAACACCCCCAAACCTAGGCCAATCAAGGAGTGAGCAAGCAAATCAAACCAGTATGGTAACCAAAGACAACTGAAAATACAATTCAAATATTTACTGCAATCTCTCAAAGAACATCAAGTAGAAAGCAATTAATAACCTTGAGCAAATTTCTTCAAATACCCTTTTTCACCTCATGGAGTTAGGTTAGACTAAATTATGCCACAATAACTAAGAACTCCAAAACTCAGGGGCTTAAAACAACTCAGCGGCTTGTGTTGCTCATCTTAGTCTCTAGGGGAACCGGGTTGAGGGAGTAGCCAACATTTCAAAAGTTTTTGGTTGCTGTCCAGGGGGAGGAGAGTTCTAAAGGGTCTCATACCAGCAATTATCATGCTCTAGCCCAGAAATATCACTATAACTTTTACTCCCAGTTCACTATCAGCACTGAGGCTCTATGCAAACGCAAGGGGCCGGGAAGTGCAATAGTACTAAATTAGTTATCTGTAGCTGCAATATCGCTGTGAAAAAGCACCCACCATAACTCTGTGCTATTCAACCATGAGCATTTATTGCTCACACATCTGGGATCAGCCAGACTGTTACTGCAGCATAAAATAGCCCATCCTGACTAGTAGAGTAATTTTGTCCCCATTTTACAAATGAGGAAACAAGGTTTGGCATGCTTATTTACTTGTCTAAGGTCATGTAGCTATTGAGGCAAGAGTCAAATGTTGGGGTGCTTGGCTGGCTCAGTCGGAACAGCATGCAATTCTTGATCTTGGGGTTGCGAGTTTGAGCCTCACATTGGGCATAGAGATTAATAAAAGCAAACAAATAAAAAAAACATAAAATAAACTTAAACAAATGTAGACCTATCTGGCTCCATTATCTCACTCTGCCTTTCCTGCACCAGATTAGTGTGGTTCTGAATTCTTCCAAAAGACCTATCGCCTAGACCAGAAAATAATTTCTTGCTAGTCTGGGTTAAAAAAAAAATCTCTGGGAACTTTTGTAACAAGATTCTGTTTTATCTCCTTGGAAAAAGGGTTTATTTGCACATTAAAAGGGGTGTTGGTAAACAAAGATGTTGAGAGCACTTAAAAAAAATAAAGCACGGAGGTAGTGGGGCTGGGGGAGGGTATATGGTTAGATGGTAGATATGGATAATTTTGCCTATCCAGCACTGTCCCTCCCCCTCCCCCAAAATACGCCGTTACACATTCTGGTAGATGCTTCTAGCCCACCTCTCACTGGTCAAATGATTGGCTCGGGGGCGAGGGCGGGGGAGGCGCTGACTCAGCTGAGCCAATCAGAGCCCTTTTTGGGGATTTTTAAAGTTGAGACCAAGTGCCCCCCAAGTCTCAGTCCGTCTCTGGTAGC